GTCTTATAATAGACTTCGCTTCACTTTAACGCTGGCATTGTCACTGGAAAATATCCAGAAAAATTCACTTGTAAGTGATCTATTTAACGGTAGTAACTACTACATTAGATAAGTATATAGCCTAAAGCCAAAAGGTTTAATGAACGGAAATACGTCAACTGTCATAGTTATATGAAATTAGAAACAAGCAAAAGATGTCTGTAGTAAAGAAAATAAATTTTTTAAAACTCAGATGAAACGTGTTTGGTAATTGTAAAAACTTTAGCGAAATGATGATGAGCACTACAAATTGGGCAGATCAGAATCTTTTGATTTGTAGAGTTGTAATCTACTTCTTGCGGCTGGCATTTCGTGGAATTAGGCAGGAAGAGCCTGCTGGGTGAAACAGATATCAGATTATCAAACATAACCTCTATAGATCTATGTTTCATACAAATTGCAATCAATCATCTAGAAGGATTCCGTAAGTTTAACACCACATCCAACAAAGAGTACAAAGAAAATACAACTGAAGGAAATGAGATTGATGAGAAAAATGAGAAGGAGAATGATCGATCGTCCCGTGAACATAGTCAAATGGCATAGCAAACAAAACAATTGTTTATTTCCGCCCAAAACGTATTTTTTAAATGTTGAAGAACTACGTTTGTTAGGAAATACAAACGGAAAGAAAAAATCGGCAATAAAAGAATGGGTGATTTTCATGAAAAAAGCTTTTTATCTCATTCACTTGTAAATTTTGTCCCCATCCTCATTCTCGCAGATCTCCTCCATACATTATACCCTATTCTATATCCCGAGCCGATAGAGCAGGGAACGTAAAACTACGCTGTATGTCTTTAGCCAATAACACATGACTTACGGCGTACTTACCTGCATGAGAAAAGTTATTGCTTCACATATAAATCTTTTACTTAACACTGATATCTAAGCATCTTATCTTGAGCGCTATTTAGCTTTTTTAAAAATTCATTTTTTTGCAGTATTCAAAGAATGTTTCTTCCATAGAATTTGGTGCCTATCAACAAATTTAATCAAAGACGTTAGAAATCTGCACCTATTCAACCCTGTTGAGAAATTTAATGAAGACTGTGTAATCATATATATTTTGCGTTCGATTTTTCTATTGTAAATATTTGAAGCATCACTTCAAATTTATTTGTCTTTAGTTTCTTAGTAAAGATTATGCGTCTGTTCAAAGTACACAAGTATGAAACGAGAGATATTGTGAATATTTGTATGCTGTGCCAGATTGTTCAAAATTGTGGTGTAATAATTTCCTCCTATACATTTTCAATCTTCGTTTTAGCGTAGTTGCCTTCTAGATTTTATTTGTTGTTTATTGTTTACTTTTTAGTTATTATGTGAGCATGTGTGGTGATGGTGCCAACGATTGTGGTGCTCTAAAAGCAGCTCACGCTGGAATATCACTTTCCACCGCCGATGCTTCTGTGGCAAGTCCATTTACATCAAAAACTCCGACAATTGAATGTGTACCGACAGTGATTCGGTAAGAAACTAAGTTGGTTTTCAAAAATAGAAAAAATATTTAAACTTAAATAAATAAGCGTATTATATAAAGGCAAAGGTTAATTTCACTATTGTAATATAAATTAGTTTTAACCAAGAAAAAGAATCGTTTTACTTTAAGCCAACAAAATAATTAATATTTACTAATGAATATGTGTCAGAAGGTTTGTATAATAATCTTGCAAACAATAACTTTCACATTCAGTCAGAGCTACTTCATTTTTTCTACATTGTTTTCACACAAAATCCTTTCTGTTGCAAATCTATGCTTCTTTGATAGCATGTCGTTTTAGTATCATCGCTTGTAAAGAAAAAGAACTTTTTCGCAAAATTTTCCCCTAAGGTATCACAGTTAACATTTCGAGAAGCAAAGGTTTCCTAAAGAATTTTCTAAAGCTTATTATTCGATGTATTTCTCTGTCTAGATTATATATATCTATAACATTTTTCTTTGTAAGAATACATTTATATGCACAAAAATGCAAAATATTTTCCTATTTTCACTGTGCTTTGAAGCGTACTTTTCGGTACCTCTGATCGTAAATGTGAGCCTCTCTATGTATATGCTGGAAAACGCAAGTTGCTGCTAGATGGTGCAAATGATGTAGATCACGACTAACGTTTTTTTTACAACGGATCTATTGGAAGCTATTTTTACTTATCTCAATTTGAGAATGAACTCGAATCTTAGTAACTATTCTTTTGCAATCAAAATTATAAATTACAGTAGACGAATATGTACTGTTTACAATTGAATTTATCTGCAGTAAAATATTTTTGCTTTTTTCAATAATTAGTTGAAATGTACGAATGCTACACATATTCTCTCATTTTTTGCGAGTATGGACATGTTTTTAGAACTTTTATAAAAAAAATTCCACCACTTTTGAAGACAAACTTCAATTAAAAAATGTTGGGTATCTTTTATCCCAATATACTGTGAAAGTTTGAACAAAAAACTCAAACAGCGATTGAGCACGTCTCACAGTGTCTATCATGCTGATGACTCTTATAGAAACAAAAGATCTTTTGCCTTTGTTCACAACAACTTGTGAGTGTCGAGAGTATATTGGAAGTTCGCATGCAAATTTCTACAAAAACAGAATGAATACATTAAAGAATTATGCTTCTTTTTTCTAGCGAGGGTCGAGCCGCACTGGTAACATCGTTTGGCGTTGTAAAATATATGGTTGCATACAGTTTAACACAATTCATGTCTATAACCATGCTATACAAAGTAGGAATAAAATTGTCTTAAGGCATCTTCTTCTGTCGTCTACATAAAGCACGAGAGCAACGCACAATGTGCGTCGCACATGCACCTATGACATAAAAGCGTGACTGATATTTAAAGGATGGATTGAACTTTCACTGGAAAAATCCGAATTTCATCTTGCCGTTCTTTTTTAGATTGGTAATAGTTTGACTGATGGGGAGTTTCTCTACATCGATTTAGGTTTGATAACGATATTAGTATTACTGTGTAAGTGTCAATATACAAAAAATTTCCGAATATTACTTTTATATTCGTTTATTGTTTTTCTTCTTCTCTAGTTAGTCGTACAATATCTTGTTCGATTTTGGATCCAAAACCTCCTCGAACAAAACTACTATCATGGGTAAGTTGATTCAGCGACAATATTGTTATATAATACTAATGGTAATTAGTTCTTTTTTCATCACAGAGACCACTTGTATCGATTTTCGGACATTTGTCCATATGTGCTGCATTTCAAGCATTCACATTTATTTACGTTCAAAACCTTCCATGGTAAATTATTAGAACAGATTAAAGTGATCAACAAGATATTATTCTCTAATGTATTTGTTTTAGGTATCAGGCTTATGAATTTAATACCAGAAAGATTTTACGTTCTTATATTAACACAGCTATGTTCCATCAGTCATCTTACCAATACATTTGGGAATCTATCATATTCTCGCGTGGAAAACCATATCGTCAATCAATATTCTCGAATTGTACGTGTTTTTATTATTTAATATTGAAATTAGTTACACCTAGATACATTTTGTTTTTCAAAAGGGATATTTTTGGCTGCAATTATTTTATGTTTTGCATTTAATACTATGTTATTATTTGCACCTGGAATAGAACCACTTTGGAATCTATTACAAGTAAGCAATAATCATCGGTAGTCTCTTGAAAACTGATAACTTTTATTTTATTCCAGCTGCGAATTTCTCCTGATTCCAAGTATAAACTCTTGATATTTGGTTTGGCAATACTGAACTTTTTTATCATGTTTATATTTGAGGTAAGAAAAAGGATATCAATTTTTTTGATCACCAAACATATTTAGATACAAATGATCACCAAAAAAGATACTATTGATCACCAAATTTTTCAGCAAGCATCTCACATTTTTATTTCTCAAAAACGTATAATGTACAACACAAACATATTCATGGAAATATTAACCAAATGAACAATAAAACTGTGCTAACTTTCTTGGGACGACCTTTTGCTTTTCGTTTCGCCTAATGGTTGAATACGTCCTTGATACAAGTTAAATAAAATTGCTAATCCAGCAGAATGTTTACACAAATATAATGACCAACAGGATTGTTGCCACACCAAAAAACCATTGAATGTATCAATGGGTAGGTATTTACCGTTCTCGTCGGTGGCTCATATTCAATGGTTTTTTTGGTGTGGCAACAATCCTGTTGGTCATTATATTTGTGTAAACATTCTGCTG